TCCTGCTACATAATAGATTAACTGGACTCCGAGTAATCTGTGGTTTTAAAGGTGGACTTTGTTATACATTGGGTGGGGGGTTGGTGGGCCAGAGGCAGTTAAAAGTTTTCTTTGAATTTTAAAATGCTTTAATTACAGTCATATCAGTTAAATAATTATTGTAGTTACTGAAATTATATTACCAAGAAAAAAGGACGATGGTTTAAAGTATTACTCTGCCTAGCCCGAAGTTCGTGTACTGTTCCAACTAAAGGTAAACCTATTGGCCAGTACTCAAACCTGACTCTTGGTCTTTCTTTCACGTGGAGGATACTCTCCGTGAGTGGAATGCACCCATGCCCTGTCCCGTGTTTAGTGGAGAAAAAGGGCTTGGCCTATATAGCATCAGTCCCTTGTGACGGTCTTACTGCAGGCAGCACTGAGGTTACTCTGCTAAAGACATTGCTGCACTACTTACCACTTGCCCTGCAACCTCTCTGTACTGATTGCCTGTCTTCAGAGCACAGAGCAGATAAAGGTCACACGAGCATTTGAGACCCAGGAGACCCATCCGGAGACCCATCCGCTGCCTGTGTTTTCCTTAATACTGCCTATTTAAGGAAAAAGCGATTTTCAAGAATTCAGTTAGATTTCAGTCAACTCTGGTTGATATGTACAAGTTAAGAGAAAATAAACACTAAAAGTAACAAAGTAGGGGCTAATTTAAAAAATGTTTTATTTTCTGAAGTGCATGCACAGACTCATACAGAATGGTATGTAGGATGGCATTTTATTTAGGCGATCCTACAAACAGAACACTGATACATAGATGAACTGAGCAGATCTGATCATTGGTTTCCATCAGATTGTTATACTTACTTTTCATTAACTTTTTAAGTTCACCAAAACCATTTCATTGCTAAGTATATTAATGCTTATTTCTCCCTTTTTTCTAGTTTCTTCATTTAAGGGACTAGATATTTTTACCTTACTAAAAAATTATAAGCCAGTATTAGTGCTTGAATTTCACTTTTCCACATAATTCTAGTTCTGAATTCTAATGAAACCTCTTAAAACATCAGTCAACCTGTTTACAAATCAATTTTATATGGTATCGATCCTTATTCAATATATGTTCTTAGTATATTAGAATACTTCTTACTTGTAATTGTGAGAATAAAATTTTCATATGTAGAAATATACAGACTGGTCATATACAGGGGATGATAAAATGTGTACAGCCGAAGTACACAAATGCACTCACATAATTCCCCCTGGCTTCTTGCACTGCAGCTGTCTTGTCACTAAGATGGGAGAAGGATGGGGAGGGCGGTGTTTGCTCTAAAGAATTAAATTGGTAGTAGCCTCTACTCTGTATTCCAGTTCTCTAGTCAGTACTAAAGTTTTATTTTTATTTTATTTTATTTTATTTTTTTTTGGCCATGCCGCATGGCACGTGGGATCTTATGTTCCCTGACCGGGGATCGAACCCGTGCTCTGTGCATTGGAAGCCTGGCGTCTTAACCACTGGACCACCAGGGAAGCCCCAGTACTAAAGTTTTAGAAATGTTGTTATCAACAAAACTTCAGAGTAGTCTGTAAATGTAAGATGATCACACCCAAAACGATTTTCAATAATCTGCTTAGAATGTTTTCACCCTTACTTTTGGGATCTCCTGTCATCGGGCATTCTATCCAAGTCGGTTAGGATTTTAACTGTTTATTTTAATTTGTATACCAGAGTAAACATTTTAATTTTATTTCAGACATGAAAAGGAATATGTCTATCCCTTTGATTTGAAGTAGGAGTTTTAAAAAAATCAATAGAGAGAAACAGCCAAAACTGTTTTCATCTTGCCCTGAATTCTAAGTGTCAGGAGATAAAGCGTCTCTAATCTCTTGTTGAGAACACAGTGGCTTTGTTTTGGGGCTCCCATCAGGCCCGGCAACTCCTAACAGTAAATAACAACCCTTGTGCTGTGCAGATGGATGAACTTTTCCATGACGTGTTCTACAAAGTGCAGCAGCCCCTCTGCTGAATCCAGATCCCTTAATCTTCACTGCAGTGTTCATTGCCAGTAGCAGACCCAGGATATAAATAATGTGAAGACACTGTTGTTTTTCCTCTTCTAAACTGCTGGCTGGGGGGGCTTCCCTGGTGGCACAGTGCTTAAGGATCCGCCTGCCAATGCAGGGGACACGGGTTCGAGCCCTGGTCCAGGAAGATCCCACATGCCGCGTAGCAACTAAGCCCGTGCGCCACAACTACTGAGCCTGTGCTCTAGAGCCCGCGAGCCACAACTACTGAAGCCTGCGTGTCACAACTACTGAAGTCCACGCGCCTAGAGCCTGCACTCTGCAACAAGAAGCCACCACAATGAGAAGCCCGCGCACTGCAACGAAGAGCAGCCCCTGCTCGATGCAACTAGAGAAAGCCGGTGGGCAGCAACGAAGACCCAACACAGCCAAAAATAAATAAATAAAATAAATTTATAAAAATAAATAAATAAGTAAACTGCTGGCTGGGCAAGCAAAGGATTTGCCTGTATGTAGTACATTTTACTTTTGTATCAGAAATAATTCTTTCTCCTGAAAGTGTTGGCTTTGTCAACTCGCTACTCTTTTGCAAGAATTCTATGAAGCAGCTGCTGTACTTCATGCTTTGAATGAATTTTGTCTTGTTTAATCCTCACAATAGCCTTGTGAAGTGGGCATAGTTTCTATTTCACGGACCAGGAAATTGGCAGCTGGAGAAACTGAAGCAGCTCCAAAGGCATTCCCAGGAATTGGTAGAGCTGGGATTCACGCCCAGGCCCCCTGCCTCCAGAGCCCGTCTCTTCCCAGGCATGAGGCAGCCTTTCACATTGCTAAACTCTATTTAGTGCCCCTGATGTACCCTTTCTTCTTGCCAAACCAAACACCTCATTCATCAGTTGTATGGTATTTAAATAAAATCCTTGAATAGTAACTGGATTTTTTTTGCTCCTGATGTTACAAATTATACACTAATTTTTGTTTCCTTTTCACTTTAGCATGTTAAAAAATAAATTGTTTCAGCAAGGTTATTTGCAACTGGAGTTTTGATTTCTAGTTCTTCACCCATTATTCCGTTTCTTTCATTCATACCAGGATTGCAAAATATCTGCTTTTTAAAGTAATAAGATATCTTCAGAATAAATCATCAGTAAAATAAAAATACATGTGAAACAAAATCCTACTATTCAAAGGGAAGTTTTGCTTGAGACTTAGCTACTGTTACAGCAGTTTGTACAAGAAAGATTTTTATTTTTTTCCAGCAGAAAAGTGGACTGAAGGGAGATGGTTTTGCCTACTGTGATTTATTCCTGTGCAGAATGTTAAAGGTTGATTACATGAAGCAGTAATTAGAATTTATTGTATACTTAAAAGCCCAGGTTTAATAAATTACTGTGTTTTATCAGGTGGTTTATGAAATACCAGCATGTAGACCCAGAAGAGGCTGTAAAGATTCACATTGATGTGCAGACAAAGAGATCTGTGGCAATTCACTGGGGAACTTTTGCCTTAGCAAATGAGGTGAGTGTGATTGTGGTAACAATAACTCGTTACGTGTCTGACCGATGATAGGATTGATCACTGTATCCTGCAGTGTGTTCAGAAACCAAACTAGAATCAGAACCTGCATGGTCATCAAGTGAATTAGGGTGGTAAATCATGTTAATTAGTAAAACAATATTTATATACAGTGGAAAAAAAAATCCTCACTGCATGTTGTTCTTTTGGCTTATTTCTGTAGTTAATGAAGCATGTGTTTATATAACCAAAAACGTGTGCAGCCTTAGTAAATAGAAAAATGAACCATCATGTCATCCCTCTCAAGGGAGGCTTTTGTTCTGGCAGAAGATACAAGACATGCACATAATTACTCAGAGTGTTGTAAAGTGGGACAGATAAAATGGTCTCAGAGTCAGGGACTGTTACAAATTGCAGGGATCAGGGAGAGCTTCGCGGAAGAGTTGACATTTGAACTTGGCTGTGAAAAGGCAAGGAGGAAGGCATTTCAAGAGGAGGAAAGTGTGGGATTGGAGGCAGCAAGCATGGGGAATAGTGAGGAATCGGTTCAGCCAGAGTATGGATGATAGGGAGGGCAATGGGGGAAGTGAGGCTGGACAGCTTGGAAGTTTTCAGAAGTATGTTATTCATCCAGTAAACACTGATTTGGTGTCTGCTGTGTGCCAGGCATTGGGATAAATGGTGGTTTTATTCCTAGACAGTACAGAAGAGCTTATTTTTCCTTAAGGTAGCTGAACCCTGGAACTCTGCTACTAGCCAGAAGCTAGTGGGATCAAACAGAAGCTTAGCAAAAAGCATTCTCTCCTTTCCTCGATCCAGGGCCTGCCCTAAGCAAAATTTAGAAACAGATGACTGAACTTGGCTTCTTCTCTTTTGCCCTGTGTGGCATCTTCCACATTCCAGGGCCTCTCTGCAGGAGCCCTGTGCTTTCATGCTGTTTTAAGCACTCCCTCTCTGTCCTCTTTCTGGCCTGCCCTCTCCCTAGTTGCATCTTATTCCAGAATTAATACACTGCCTGCCCCCTGCCGACCCCCCCCCCCCAAATCAGAATTCCCGTTCCGCAATGCTGTGGCCCTGAGCCACGCTGTTGGGGGACAGAATGGAATCAATAAATGAATGTCCACGGGCATGGAAAGGGTGAAGAATATGATGAGTGTGTGTGTTTCTGTGTTTGTGTATTTGGAGAAGAGGGAAGTTTGGTACTGGTTTCCTTTGGTTTACCACTATTATTTAGAGGCAGTGTCTTATTCCGTGTGTGTGTATGTGTGTTCCATATGTATATAGGTAAATTTAGATATATGTATGTTTATGTTCTATATATATATAACATATTTCAGCAACTTAGATGAAGTAATAGTATTTTATTAAACCTTGCAAAGAGAAGAATCAAGCATGACTCCTAAATTTTTAACTTGAGTAATTGGGAAGGTGGCTATGTTCTTTACTGAGATGGCAAGATGACGAGAGGAAGAAAACCTCAGTCTTCAAGAGTTATTATGTTATTCAGCCTTCAAGAACTACTCCTGTTTTAAATCTAAACTTCATCTTTATTTCTTAATGAAATACAAAATACACTCTCATTTAGTTTTTTTTTTTTTTTTTTTTTTTTTTTTTTTTTTGCCACACTGTGTGGCATGTGGGAGGGTCTTAGCTCCCCAACCAGGGATCACATCCATGCCCCCTGCATTGCGAGTGTGGAGTCTTACCCACTGGACCGCCAGAAAGTCCCTGAACTGGGCTATTGTTGAGGCAGGAAGATAAATAGTATGAGTTCAGTAGAAATATGGTGGCAAGTGTGGGTAAGTAGAAAGGGGGAGGAGGAGGGTCAGTGGGGGTAGAGATGTTATAATGGACCAAAAGAGAGGTGACCTGGACTAGCCTCAGAGCTGAAAGCTGTCTCGTGTAGCAGTGTGCCTACCTTGGGGTGAGTAGGGAATCTGATTGGCTCAAGCAAATATGTAAACTGATCACATAAGTCAATATGTTGAGAATGACAATAAGTATTTACAAGTAAGGCTGAAAAGAATGATGAGGTGATGGATTGAAACTGGATGTATATATCAGTGTGAACTCATGCTTAAAATATATCTATATCCATAACTATATCTAAGTCCAGAGATACAGAATCAGTTAGAGATATATGTGTGCGTCACGGAGCACAGGCTCCGGATGCGCAGGCTCAGCAGCCATGGCTCACGGGCCCAGCCGCTCCGCGGCACGTGGGATCCTCCCGGGTCGGGGCACGAACCCGCGTCCCCTGCATCGGCAGGTGGACTCTCAACCACTGCATCACCAGGGAAGCCCTCATTTAGTCTTTTTGACATTAGTTGCATAAATTGAGAACTACGAGTTTGCTAAATAAATTATAAAGTACATGGAATTTTGGGGGAGGATGTTTAGCCTATGCTTCGCAAACAGTTTTAAATGATTTGCATGTAAATAGTTGTAATAACTGCTTCCTATAATATAAGCAGCTTAAGGATGTTATTGACTTGGCAGCACTTTAAAATTGTACGTACGGCAACATCTGATTTATCTAAGGAATGATGAGTGAATTTCCTAAATAATGTATTTAAGCACTTCAACTTAACTGACTAGTTTTGGTAGAAACAAACTGTAGGCACTACATAATATATGTTAACTTCTTAAATGATCAGGGTCTTTATTTTGAGTCTCTTCTGTTGGAGTAGATCATAAAACAGTGACCCCCTTTGAAAGGGAATGTATGAGCTGTCTGGGGCTGGTTGCCTGGCCCTTAATGGGTCCACACTGCTGGGAGCTTCTGCTTTCACCACTTACTCTTTTTCTTTTCCCACATCTTTATTGGATTAAAATTGCTTTACAATGTTGTGTTAGTTTCTGCTGCACAGGTATATGCATACCTATATCCCCTCCCCATCCCACCCCCCTAGGTGGTTACAAAGCACCGAGCTGATCTCCCTGTGCTATGCGGCTGCTTCCCACTAGCTGTTTTGCACATGGTAGTGTATGTATGTCAATGCTTCTCTCTCAATTTGTCCCACTCTCCCCTTCCCCCACTGTGTCCACAAGTCCGTTCTCTATGTCTGCATCTTTAGTCCTGCCCCACCACTAGGTTCATCAGTACCATTTTTCTAGTTTCCATATTATGCGTTAATACACGGTATTTGTTTTTCTTTGTGACTTACTTTACTCTGTATGATGGACTCCAGGGCCATCCACATCACTACAAATGACTCAGTTTTGTTCCTTTTTATGGCTGAGTAATATTCCATGGTATATATGTCTCTAACCTACTACCTTGCTTTATACATATTGTTTGGTCCCATGGCTATTGGGCATTTTTACCTTCCCTGCAGGATTAATGTGCTTGCACTAAGAGATAGCTATCAGTCACTCAGAGGCTTTCTTGCCTACTTACAGAGCTCCCTTCTAGATGGTTGAAGCAGCCAAGAATTGACCTATGAAGAAACTCAGAAAGATACTGCAACATCAAAATCTATACTAAATTATAGCTTATAACTAAAGTTACAGTTTAGGAAAGACATTATTAGTGTAGGGCAATTGTGTAAGTGTGTTGTTGGCCAAGACTTGTAGAGAGAGCACAGGGGAGAAAAAATTTAACAGAACAGTTATTTTTCATTGGGAAAGAATTTTGTCATTTTGAAATCTCTTAAAAATAATTTTGCAAGGGAAGCTTCTTGACTTAGGCTATTATTTACAGTTAAATCTCATGGGGGATATATTAGCAATCTCCTATATGCATAAAAAAGACTAAAAGTGGATTCCTGTTGTCAGCTAACCCATTAATAAGTGGCTGTCTCTAGGAATACCAGGTAACTAATGCACAGTTAACCTCAGTTACTCCGTAGTCAGTGGGAAGGCATCCCTGACCCGCTAAACATAGCCATAAACCTAGAAGTGAGCAGGCGGGGAGAAAAGACCCACGTGTGGCCAGTAACTGTTAGCAATCTGTACATCTGAAGCCACAGAAGACTTGCCTGGTTTTCCTAGTACATCACTGGCTGGCCCTTCCTACTCTCTGCTGCTAGTTCCTCGTCAGCAGTGAGTGCCTTAGGACTCAGTCCAGGGGCCCCATTTCTTCTCTAGTTGGTTACTCCCTTGGGCATGTCATTAGTCTTATGTCTTTAAGCACCATCTACCCACTGTACCTCTCTAGCCCAGGTTTCCCCCTACAATCCATGTTTATGTATCTAGCTGCCTACTTGATGTCTCCAGTTGGATGTCCATCAGGTACCCAGAACTTCAGTCTAAAACCAAACTTCCTGATCTTCCCTCAAAATCATTTCTCTTAATCTCAGTAAATGGCAACACCCTCCTTCCAGTTCCTCAGGCCAAACGGTTTACTCTCTCTCATATCCTCCCTTCAGCTTTTCCCCACATGCAGTCAGCTCATCCTTTAGATTGTATTTAGACTTTGAGTACCTCTTACCCCCATCACTGATGCCACACTGCCCCTTACAGTCTGTTCTCAACGCTGCACAGGGCAGCGACCTTTACCCCTTAGATCAGATTGTGACACTCCTGTGCCAGAAGGACCTGCAGGTTTCCATCACACTCCCAGTCAAAGCCACAGCCCTCACAGCTGCCTACAAAGCCTGGTGCAATCTGCTCCCTCAGGTCTTTGTTCAAAGGTTGCCATCTCCAAGAGGACTTCTTAGATGGTTGTATTTAAAATTAAACCTCCACCCCCGACACTTACCAACTATGTTCTCCCCAGAACATGTCACCCACTCAGATACTGTTTTCTTTATTCATTTCTTATCTGTCTCTGTATTGGGATGAAAGCTCTAGGAAGGCAAGGGTTTTTATTTACTTCACTGACCTGGCCGCTCTCTGGGTGCTCACCAGCCATTGCTGCATGGAGGGTAGAAGCAGACTTACCACCAGCGATCAGAGTAGAGACTGTTTGATTTTTATTTCTGCTTTAACATTTTACAGCTTTTCTAATTGAAATTGGGGAAAAAACCCTTTGTGTAATACCTGTTTTTTTCCTTTATTGGCTGTAAAACTAGCTACTATACACTGTAAATATTTAGCTCAAAAGAGAAATAACTGGTGAAATGATTTCTTTTATACCTTTTGCTTTCTTTAACTATAACACATTCAAGTGGTTTCAATTTATTTGGTAAACATTTGAGTATGTTGAAACATTCTTCAACAGTGTGCTGTCTTTTTTTTTGAGTTATGAAAAGGTGAGGAAACAAAAGGTAACGCCACCTGTTAAATCTCTTTTCCTCAGGCTCCTCTTCAATCCACAGACTACAGAATCAGTATTTGGTTGGGGTCTGGGGATGACAACCCTTCTTCAGCCAAAAATATTTTCTCTAGCGTTTGCTTGTACACACATACTCTTCCTTATAATGTAAGTTTCTGTGTTCTCCCAAACTATTGGTAACACTTAATTTTTAGCATTGATTCCATTTCGACTGGGATTTCATGTAGGGAAATAGTGATCAGAGTTCATGCAGTCTAATAATGCTCAATCTAAGTTGGCCAAATTTGACATGCATGGTGTTACCCGATTGATAAATATGACATTTCTATTGGCTTAATGATTCTATATTAGAAAGTATGATCGACTCATTTGCTAATGCTTCAATGAAAAGGAAGAGCATTACTTTAAGTAGGCTGTGTTGGTTATTTTAGTTTGAACTCTTGTTTGACATATCCCCCCAAATATATGTATGCTTAATCTTTTTCCATTTTTGTTTCTCTCTGCCCTTTGCCAGCATTACTTAGAACCTCCAGTGAAACTGAGTGAGGCTCTAGAAAGATATGGACTTAAGACTGAAGATTTTTTTGTCTTGAAGCATGGAGAGTCAAGATACCTTAATACTGATGATGACAACTTTGAGTAAATATGAGCACAGGAGCTTTTAATGAAAAAGGCATCATCTGATATAAATCTAAAAAGACTAAGAAATTCATGAATATTACGATTTTTACGTTTGGAAACAACTTCTGCAGGTTTGTAATATGATTGCCAGTTCTTATAAACAGAGTTCAGAGGTGGGTCATTTAAATAAGGTCATGTTTCAGTGACATAAACATTGCAATGGAATTTTTTTTTACTAAATCATTCTACTTCAGTGGTAGAGTTTTTTTTGTTTTTTTTTTTTGTGGTACGAGGGCCTCTCACTGCTGCGGCCTCTCCCGTTGCGGAGCACAGGCTCCAGACGCACGGGCCCAGCGGCTGTGGCCCACGGGCCCAGCCGCTCCACGGCATGCGGGATCTTCCCGGACCGGGGCACAAACCCATGTCCCCTGCATTGGCGGGCGGACCCCCACCCACTGCGCCACCAGGGAAGCCCCTAGTGGTAGAGTTTTGAGATTATGAAAAATGGATTTTAAAAACTCATTTCTGTTCTTCTATTCTTAGGGGCCTTCTGCATGGTAAGTCAAGGCTGTCTACCTACCTAGATTTTCTCACAGGCCTGCACATAGAAACATATTTCTTACAGTCATGTTAGAGCAAATGATGACATTGATTCCCCACATGGTTATATGCCAAATGTTAAGAGATTTATTTTTTTAAACGTAAAAACAGGAGTTTGGGCTAAGTTACCATTTTTTTTTTAAAGAGAGGAATAATATACTCTGTGGCATATCTACAATCCCCAAATCAAAAGCCCTCTGAGCTGGGCAGAGGAAGGGGAAGTGTGGTTATGAGAACATGATTTGTGAAATGTTTTATTTTTAATCTAAAAGTCAGACCTGCTCAGCACAAATATAGCTGCAAGGAAATAATTTACAAAGATAAATACAGATATTAAATGTTAATAGACCATATACTTTGAGTTAAATTTTATACTTTCCATATTCCATCTTCTCTCTCTCTCTCTCTCTCTCTCTCTCTCTCTCTCTCTCTCTCTCTCTATATATATATATATATATATATATATATATATATATACTCATTATTTTTTCTGGTTTCTTAGCTCAAACCCCAGTGTGTCAGTGAGCTTTATAAATATTTTCTGTTTTACATGATTCTCTTATATTTTTGTATTACACGATCCTTAAGCACGGTTCTACTTTTATTAAGCCAGTGTGGAATATTAGTGGTTAAAAAAAAGACAGTGATTCTGGGAGTCCACTGCCCTGAGTTTTAGTCCTAGACAGGCTCTACACGCACTCCATTACTCTGAACCTTCCTTAATGAGAGAGCTGATTAGAGGCCCGTTCTGTCTTCCCAATACAGCCTCAGTGAAATGAACTTTATTCATACAAAATAATCAAAATAGGTTTTCTACACCAAATGCTACCCAGGTAGTGCCCTGTAATTTATTTTCACGTATATATATGCACGTTAGCCACTTAATCTGACTTTTAATCCCGCTTCTGCCTTGGATTTTCTGTCACCTAAGCTCAGTGTGCCTCAGTGTCCTCATGTGCAACGAGGATGATTTTCACCTACCTCCAAAAACTGAAGAATAAATAAGTCTTTTTTTAAAAAAACACTTTGAAAATATAAGGGAGAAAATGATATCTTCAGATATCACTGCCTAATACAGATAGGTAGATTTGAAAGTGGAAAATAGGCTAATGCTTTTGATAATATATAGTCAAGCATATAAGGACATTGAGGACTAACAACTTTCTCTCCCACATTTTGTAAATTTGGAGAATAGCCAAGATAAATGTAAATAATACTTATCAAAATTTAGCATTTTTATCAACAAAGATGCAAATCTGTCAAGGGGAAATGTACATGTAATATAGGTGAATGTATATGATTCGTGGGCACTAAAAGCACAAAAAATTTCCCCATAAACCTTCAGGAAAAAAAAAAACACTTTTTCACTCCAAAGGAACATTTAGCAAACAGATGGGAATCAAGATGTTTGTTTGGCTTATGGTGGATTAGCTTTGGCATGGGTTGCCCTAATACTAGCCATAATTCTGTGGTCACCTTCCTTGCTGCTGCACGCCAGACGGAAAATTCATCTCTTACCTCTGCTCTATGAAGCAAGCCAAGCACATCTTGCTTAATTCTCTTTGAATGGCCTTAATGTTAATTGTGTATTCACATGTACTGTTTAACTGAGGGGTCTCCAAGCACTTTAAATTTTGTTCTAAGTTCCACGTAATTGGGCCTGCCTCATTTTCTAGGCTTCCTCCAAGCTGTAATTTTTAGGACCATTTGCATTCTTTCCACTTTGACATTTTGTTTGTTAGGAAGTACATTGAGTTTCATCTCTCCTGTCTACATTTTGAAGCCTTTTATGTACAAAGCAAAACCAAATTTTGAAAAGTAAGACTAATCCACTCTGTTCCCTCCATTCAGTCTAAATACGTGTCATAATACCTTTTCGTTTGTCTCATCCTCTAAGTCAATTTCATTTTCCTCTTTGATTAGCCAGCATCCATACCAACATGTAAGATTTTATTGAAATCCCTTTCTCCCGTGATAACTGAAGAACACTTTGAAACTCACTGCCCAAGAGGGTGGGACCATCAGTTAGGAGAAAGCCCACCTAAAATAGGTAAGATGTGCTATGACCTACCTAGGTAAAGATCGAACTGTGCACTTTCCCTGTGGAATTCTTTCTAGATGACCCCCCCCCCCGTGGGACCATCAGTTAGGAGAAAGCCCACCTAAAATAGGTAAGATGTGCTATGACCTACCTAGGTAAAGATCGAACTGTGCACTTTCCCTGTGGAATTCTTTCTAGATGCCCCCCCCCCCCCGCCTTTCTCTAGCGTTTTGACATTTCAAACTCAATGCTCTGATCTCCAGGAAATGTTATTTGTTCAAACTAATAATAGAGGAAAAGAAGAGAGGGTGTTTTAGAATCCAGTGCTGCTACCGTACATTGAAATCAAATCTTCGTTTTAATGTGTGTACATTTTGAATATATATTTTCATTAAACAAGGAGGAAGATTAAGCAAAATTGCTATAAAGAAATGTGCCTTTCAGGGAGTTAATACTTATGTTTGCATCACTTGATAAATGATCCTTATTAGCCTTCATAATGTACATTATTTAGAATTTTCACATTTTCATCATATTTCTACTGTAAAAATATGTCTCCCAAGTTTCATTTCTGTATTAGGATAACCCTGATAAAGCACATTTTCTGTTTGAGGATTTGTGACTTCCTATGGAAATCTATGTGTTTACAAATGAAATTTAAAGCTTTGCCTTAAATACATGACTAGGAAAGCTTCTGCTTACAAATTGATTTACTTAATAACTAAGCATGGTGGTGGTTATGAACTTGATTACTACAAAACCTGCAGGGGGGGGATCCTGGCTGAATTCAAATATATCAATAAATTGTTAGAGTAGCTTATGGGATAAAAATACTGTTAAAAATAACTGCTGAGAATTTTTCATATCTTATAATTTTAATCATGTAAAATTTGGGTGAAAGTTAATGAATAAAACTTCTTTCAGTTAAGGGGAGAAAATAATCCTGTGACATTTTTCTTTTTTATTTAAAAAAATTATGAAATTTATGCCCAGAGTAAAAAATTCAAACACTAGAAGAAGGTGTACATAGAAAAGTCATTTCCTCACTCCCTAATCCTATTCTCAGGAGTCTGGCTTTCATTCTAGATATATATACCAAAGTGCCTATATATGAAAGAAGTGTTCTGTCCATATATAAGCATAAATTTTTTGATTTTAAAAAACCACAAATGGGGTCATATTTTTCTACAACATGTATTTTGAAAAACAACCATATTTCATGGATGTCTTTCTACATCAGCACATTCAGACCTGCTTCATTCTCTTTAAAGACTATATAACTGATTTAACCAATTGCCTTTGCCTTTGGATGGATTTTGATTGATCCCAGTATATTATACATATCAAACTGAATGGGAGTGGGTGAGTACTAGGAAACATTTCTAACAGTTTACAGTTTTCATAGACTAGAATAGATTCTAATGATTAGAACAGATCTGAAAGAGTGGCAGGTGGCCTTAGGAGTATGGGATCGATCTCATCACTACTAAAAGAACAGGGTCCTTCCTAGGGTGCTTATGAAACATACTGCTGCTGTCCCAGATGCATAACTGCAAATCACTGCCAACAGTGGAAGGGTAGCTTACACATAAAAAGGTCACTGTCACTCCGTGTAGAGGAAATAACTGAAGTAGCTTAGCAAAAAGCAAAATAAAAACAAAATGGTTTCAGAACAAAAAGCTCTTATATTCTTTTGGTATCAATAAAATGGTCTGAGACCAGGGCAAGTTGTAGCTGTGTTAATGATGGAAGGTGATATTTACTGTTTGTTTAAATTCAGCAGTTGAAAGAATCCCTTTGTAAGGAAGGTGAAAAATGAGAAGTTTATGTGTATTATTTCTAGACTGCATTACTCTTTGGAAAAATATGACCAACCACTTAGAATTTTGGTATCATTGTTACCTTTTCCTTCACATCTGCATCATGGTGATAAACTAAAGCTCTCATTTTCTGGGCACATTCTTCTCCATATAACAGGTAAAACAGTGAACCTTCAGTGAAAGTTGGCTGAATAGCTAAATGGCCTTCCTTTTCGAGGCAGGTAGTTATATTCTGAAACAGTGTGAGAACTCGAAGAAGAATCTCCTTTGCTACATGGCCATCATAAAGGGAAAGGAATGAAGAATCCACCTGAAGTAGGAAACAATGAAAATTAAAAATATACAAAAACATTTTCCATGTGTATGTTCACATTTTAAAGCTGTAGTGAATGCATTTAAAAAATCTTGTCACAGAAAACTGTCCCTAAGACTGCATAACTTAAATGTGTAAAATTTGAGGCACTCCTACGTCATATACTAATGGAAAAAAGAGGTTTTGTGTTTTAGCTAAAAAATACTATTTCCTTGGAATCCTAGAATGCAGTCATTTGGAAAAACACCCATTTCCTCTTTAAGATGCATCATAATCATATATAGTCATCATGGAAACTCATTAATTCACCAAAATACTAAGTGCACACACTGTGCAGGGCATAGGGCTGAGCAGATGAATATGACAGGGTCCCTTTTCTATAGGACTTGAGGTCCGTTCTACCCCAGCACTACCTATGCTTCCTTCAAAATACCACAGCTTTTAACTGCTCCTTTCTTACACATTTTTGTCTCCTCTCCCTAGACTGTAAGCTCACGAGGACAAGTACCATGTAATGCTGTACTCACTGGTGTATCTTGGCACTCAGCCCAGCATCAGGCACATACTGTGGCCTCCATAAATACTAGTGTTTCAGTGGATACTAAGATACACTGAACATAAGCAGGTTAAATATAAAAGATGTGATGATATATAAGTACCCCAAATTGGACAGAGACAGAAAAATTATAATTCATTATTGCTAGGGAGAACTTTTCAAAATGATTTTTAAAAGTAAAATACATTCATTTCAGAAATTTTAGGAAATTCATATTGGCCAAAAAAAACCCCAAAAAACCCACCTCTAATATTGCTCCTCAGAGCTAATCCCTGTTAATATTTGAGGTAAGTCCTTTCCCTCCAGATCTGTCTGTCCAAATCTATATATTTGTACGGACAAAACAGATATGTAAGCTACTGAACTTACTTTGGCACCAAGGAGTCCATCTGTCATGGCTGGATTTTCCGACAAATTCAAAAGCAGTTTTAAAACTTGAACCTGAAATAAGAACATTGGTTTATTTCAGACTAGCAAGCATGGGTTTTCTCTCCCTGGCATGCTGTCCCCCAACCAAGTCCACATTTTAAAGTCCTGCCTATTCTTCAATGTCTGACTCAAATTTTCTCCATTCTACGAAGCTTTCTCAATTCCTCTTATTTAAAACCTTAGTTTTCTAATTATACTGATAGGGAGACAGGGAGAAAAGAATGAACATCTTAGCTACCCACCCCTGGCGCACAGAAATACCTAACACAGTAAGTTTAACTGTGTTACATAAATAATCTTTATTACGATTACTGATAAGTGAAATACGATCTTTAGAACAAAAAGAATCTCTCAAAGCTGTTTCTACTTCAAGTATGAAAATTTGGGGATAGTTTGGTTATGAAGACTAACAATATGGTGCTTTATACTAGGTTTCTATGATTCTTGGAGCTTATTGTTTCTATATGAAAAACTGTACAATCATTTACGCAGTGACACAAATAATAAGCAAACAAATGTTATCTTATAGCTGACTAGCCAAAATATCAGAACTCTTACCACTTATAACTGAAAAGTCAGTAATGAAATCATTCAAATGGAATTCTTCCTTTAAAAATGCGAGTCGTGGTGCTTCACTGGTGGTGCAGAGGTTAAGAATCCTCCTGCCACACAGATGCAGAGGACAAACGTGTGGACACGAAAGGGGGAAAGTGGCGGGGGGGATGGTGGTGGGATGAACTGGGAGATTGGGATTGACATGTATACACTAACATGTATAAAATAGATAACTGATAAGAACTTGCTATATAAAAAGATAAAATTTAAAAAAAAATGAATCCGCCTGCCGATGCGGGGGACACGGGTTCGAGCCCTGGTCCAGGAAGATCCCACATGCTGCGGAGCAGTTAAGCCCGTGCGCCACAACTACTGAGCCTGCGCTCTAGAGCCCGCGCTCTGCAACAAGAGAAGCCACCGTGATGAGAAGCCCGCACACTGCAACGAAGAGTAACCCCGGCTTGCCGCAACTAGAGAAAGCCCGCGCGCAGCAACAAAGACCCAACACAGCCAAAAAAAAAAAAAAAAAAAAAAAGCGAGTCATGTGAAAAGTATACTTTCTATAAGATACTTGAAATTGCAGAAAGTGAGGAGCAGGGAGAACAGACTGAAATCAGGAAAAAGTGACAAATGTGCCCTTCATTACTCCCTGGAAGAGACCTGGATATTATTATATAAACCTTTTTTGAATTACAAAGGCATTATGTGTTTACTATAGAACATTATTTTTAACTACAGAAAAGCAGAAAGGAAAAGGAAATTCACATTTCCATGACTAGAAATGATATTAAGTTTGGTATTTTCTCATATATATATCCTAATATACATTCCTTTGATCACACTGTACATATTAATTTGTTAAGTAGAAAGATATGACTTTCCCTAATTTTACTGCTTTTAACTATTAAAACTTTTAAATAAAATTAATACATGTTCATGATAAATTTCAAAGAGTGCAGGAGGGTTCTGCACAGCAAAAGAAACCATAAAAACGATGAGACAACCTACAGGATGGGAGAAGATATTTGCAAATGATGTGACCAACAGGGGTTAATTTCCAAAATACACAAAGCTCATGAAGCTCAATATAAAAAAATAACCCAATCAAACAATGAGGAAGACCTAAATAAACACTTCTCCAAAGAAGACATACATGTGGCCAAGAGGAACAAAAAAGGTGCTCAACATCACTTATTTCTAGAGAAATGCAAAGTAAAATGAGGCATCACGTCCCATCAGTCAGAATGTCCATCATCATTAAATCTACAAACAGTAAACACTGGAGAGCATATGGAGAAAAAGGAACCCTCTTACGCTATCGGTGGGAATGTAAATTGGTAACAGGCACTATATATTAACGCATATACATGGAATCTAGAAAAATGGTACACATTAACCTATTGGCAGGGCAGGAATAGAGATGCAGACGTAGAGAAAGGACATGTGGACACAGGGTGGGGGAAGCGGAGGGTGGGATGAATTGGGAGATCAGTACCAACATATATACACCACCACGCACAAAATAGAGAGCTAGCAGGTACCTGCTATAGAATAGGAAATTAACCTCGGTGCTCTGACACGACCTAGATGGGTGGGATGGGGGGTGGAATGGGCGGATGGGAGGGAGGACCAAAAGGGAGGGGATATAGGTATACATATAGCTGATGCACTTCACTGTACAGCAGAAACTAACACAATATTGTAAAGCAATTATACTCCAATAGAAAAAAAAAAAGCACGAGGGGGTATCAAGGGGTACCAGTCAGAATGGTCATCATCCAAAAGTCTACAAACAGTAAATGCTGGAGAGGGCATGGAGAAAAGGGAACCCTCCTACACTGTCGGTGGGAATGTAAATTGGTGACTGCCACTATGGAGAAGAATAGGGGGGTTCCCTAAGAAACCAAAAACAGAGCTGCCATATGGTCTGGCAATCCCACTCCTAGGTGTATATCCGGAAAAAACCATAATTCAAAAAGACACATACACCCCAACCTTCCTTGCGGGGCTATTTACCCTAGCCCAGACATGGAAGCAACTAAAATATCCATCGACAGGTGGACGGATAAAGAAGATGCGGTACATATATAAGGAAATACTACTCAGCCTTAAAAAAATGAAATAATGCCATTTGTAGCAACGTGAATGGACCTGGATATGATCATACTAAGTGAAGTCAATCAGAGAAAGACAAACATCATATGATATCGCTTGTATGTGGAATATAAAAAAATGATACAAATGAACTAATTTACAAAACAGAAACAGTCTTCAAAAACAAACTTAGGGTGACCACCGGGGAATAGTGTTGGGAGGGATAAATTAGGAGTTTTGGTTTAACATATAAGCACTATTTAAAATAGATAACCATGAAGGACTTACTCTATAGCACGGGTAACTCTATTCAATATTTTGTATTTATCTAAATGGGAAAAGAATTTTAAAAATAATATGTATATGGATACCTGAATCACTTTGCTGTACACCTGAAACTAACACAACGTTGTAAATCAACAATACTCCAATATAAAATAAAAAGTATAAAGATAGAAAGATAGAAATCAGCCGCCCGCTTTTAGACTCGTGACCTGGGTTTACGTCTCGTGTGTTAAAGGTGAGAAAAAATATATATAAAGTTAGAGTACAACTACAGATTAAACAGTTAACTTATATGTATTTTGTTTTGAAACCACGGTCAGTCCTACTGAACCGTAACTTTTTCTTGTGTCACATATGCCATCTTGTGGTGGCTCTAGGACATTTCTTTTAAGCCATTACTTTCTTTTGTTCTCATGGCAGATGTAGCAAACACAAGGTTTATTTAAATTCACCTTCTACTATTCGTATTTAGTTATGAATCAGTGTTGAACCCAAGAGGTTATTATAGTAGAGTGAGATCACTTATTAAAAATAAAGATTTAAAAAATTCATGTTGGGGCTTCCCTGGTGGCGCAGTGGTTGGGAGTCCGCCTGCCGATGCAGGGGACACGGGTTCGCGCCCTGTCGGGGAGGAGCCCACGTGCCGCGGAGCGGCTGGGCCCGTGAGCCATGGCCGCTGAGCCTGCGCGTCCGGAGCCTGTGCTCCGCAACGGGAGAGGCCACAACAGTGAGAGGCCCGTGTACCATAAAAAAAAAAAAAAAAAACTCATGTTGGTGGTTTTTTACTAAGAAAATATCTAAAATGGATACATTTTTCCACTTACAAATGGATTATTATCCAAAAGTTCATTTGCAAGTTGCAACTTTAAACTCATTTTTTTTTTAAAGACTTTTTTGACGTGGACCATTTTTTGAGTCTTTATTGAATTTGTTACAATATTGTTTCTGTTTTTATGTTTTGGATTTTTGGCCAAGCGGCCCCGACCAGGGATCGAACCCGCACCCCCTGCATTGGAAGGCGAAGTCTTAACCACTGGACTGCCAGCAAAGTCCCTAAAGTCATTGTTTAATGGAGAAACAACTGGTGGTTAGCCTCTCAGACAGACGAAAAAAGCAAATTTTCTATCCCAGAAATACCTGCTAGGCAATGTAGTGGAAAAACAAAACAAACCAAAAATAAACATAGTATTGTGGTGTGAGTCACTTTCAAAATGTCATAAAATATAAACCATCTCTGAGACAGATATATACAGCCCCAAGGCCAAAGGTACTTGGCTCTGAACACAACGTGCCTCTGAGGTTTTGGGCAAAGTAGCTGCAGAGAGAAACAGAAGAGTTTCCAACAGCTCCAATGCCATGGGGTAGAGAGAATGCAGTTTCTACGGGGTCAAGGGATGGAAGTTACCTTGCTCCCCTGGAGAGAGGGGTGTTGACGGGTGTGTGCATTTGGAAATTGCCTATGGATGGAGCATTATTCCTAAAATATTGCTAATACGATTATTACATTTAATTTTGAATGCCTTCGGGTACATCTTGGACCAGATCTAAGTAAGTTTGGCTACCTGAAATGTGGAAAGCCCATATAAAAACATCTCAGAACAAATTTTTAAAGGACTACAGTAAGGCTCTGCTATAATCACAATTTGATAACCTCAGAAGTAACTTCAGTGAACTTGATTATCTGGAGTCTGGCTTCACATTTAGTCCTTCTAAAATGCTCATGCATCTTTTTCAACTGTGCCAGAGAACACAGACCAATACAGTAAAACACTGATGAACAACTGACGCAACTAATTAGAGCCTTTGATTACTCTACCTTTTGTTTTTATGGTATTTCTTGAAAAATGGTGCTTGATAAGAATGCACACAAATATGAGGGGTTTACTCAAGCAGTTTTCACAGGGTGTCCCAGTTAATTCAGCTCCAACTCTGCTGCCTCCTACATCTATTGATACATAACAGGTCAAAGTGGAGCACTGAGACATGCATTACTGAATCTTAAAAGTATCAGTTTCGGAAAGATTTTACAACACACAATGGTCGAATCAAAAAAAAAGTTCTGTTAACCCTGAGGTAAGCAAAAAACTCAATTCCCCAGCACTGTCACTCAAAGACTTCTTTTAATCACAATGGTTCTGTATCTGGTGCGGGTGAAGCTAGCTACTTCAGTAAAAGGTAAACATTTTCAGAAAACCAAATGAATACCCCATCTATTGATAAGTGAAACAACAGATTATTTTCACAAGTTAACTTTGAAATTCAATATTAGGGTATAAAAATAATATACTTTCTTGCGCCCATGTAAGGGTTTTTAGTAAACTTTGAACTTTCTTTTTTGAGGAGTATCAACTTAAGACGGGTGACTTGTAAACTAAATTCCAATCTTAATAAACTGGATGCAATAGCTGTTTGTACTGCAAGTAATGGCCAACCACTTCCTTCATACCTTGGTGCTTCCATTTCCCGTGAGCAACAAGTGGAACAGGTCTGTAATGTAACTGCTAAGCATGTGCTGGTGGTCATTGGTCACTGTCATGTTTGTTAACAACCTCAGTCCGGCCAGCTGCACAGCGGAGTTCAGGGGGCCGGAGAAGACATCCTCACAGACTTGACTGACGTACACCTGAAGGCGGGGAAAAAATGAGCGTCTTAGGATCTCCAAAATTTTTCTATTGAACCGTAACTTTTCTGCACAGCTGAACAGGGTGATTGTTCAGGATGAGACTTGCTCCTTAGGAAAGATGGCATTTGTATCCAGCCCTCAAACTTGGGTGACTTTTTTTTTTTAAGCTGCCCTTGTTAATGGGAGGCACGGAGCACTTTACAGATATACCTCACTTCAGCCCTGAGACAACTCTAATGAGGCAGTGTTATTATGGCCATTTTACTGACACGGACTTTAAAACTCTTCCAGGAGCTTGGACCCCCTGCCCAATGTAACGAGCTGGTGGAGCAGTGTCCAAGCCCAGAGACCATGCTCCCAACCCAGTGGGGGGCCTCCCAACCCAGTCTGCCTTTCTGTGTCTGGGCACACTAGGATGAGGAAGAAGACCTGTAGGACCATTTTGTTCCATGGTTAAGTACCTGAACAGTAGGATCTAGGGGCGATATCATGTTAGAAGTAAAGAATGGGGGGGGACACAAAGTCAAATAGAACTTTTCTTTAGAGTTCTTTCCTTCAAAAGTAAGCAGAGGGCATCCCTGGTGGTGCAGTGGTTAAGAATCCGCCTGCCAATGCAAGGGACACGGGTTCAAGCCCTGGTCCAGGAAGATGCCACATGCCGCGGAGCAACTAAGCCTGTGCACCACAACTACTGAGCCTGCGCTCTAGAGCCCACGCACCACAACTACTGAGCCCACGTGCCACAACTATTGAAGCTCGCGCACCTAGAGCCTGTGCTCCGCAACAAGAGAAGCCTCGACAATGAGAAGCCCGCGCACCGCAACGAAGAGTAGCCCCCGCTCACCGCAACTACAGAAAAGCCTGTGCGCAGCAACTAAGACCCAACACAGCCAAAAATAAATAAATAAATAAATTTTTTTAAAAAAGTAAGCAGAGACAAACTCTATTTGGCCCAAGGTTCTTATTTACCGAGGTATATGTATATGAACTACTCCTTCATAATATTGTAAACCGCCACTGGCAAAAAGTAATGCAGTGCCAGTAGTACTCCTATTTCACACATGACAGATCTAAACTAAACCCAGGGTGATGGAAATTTTTCTGAAACTCTATTTTCTATGTTTGGCCATGATCTCTCCAGCTTGGAAAAATTATGTCTCACAAATAACTGGTATTCACCTAAGTCTGAACTCCACCAAACATCCTAATTGGTAAGAAAAATTCCCTAATATAAAATGCTAAGGAATTACCAACTGTCCCATAAGCCAGTATTAACTTTTAAAAATATCCAAATGTATTCATGTTACCTAATGGCAGTAAAGCAAAGAGAGATTAAATTTTTAATCTGGTTTCAAGATCTAAATGATATTTACAAATCAATTTGGCTGTCCTGGGTCACCATTTCATTATACATCCATCCTTTAAAAAAATGGCATTTCCTTAGAATCATTATAAATCATGTATTTTCACAGGATGCTCATGTCTTTCAAAGCATTTCCTAAAATGTGCTGAGCATTTACATCCTTATTAGTTATGAATCTTTTCTCCATTTCAGTTCTAGCAACAAGATTACCAAATGGGCCAGCTCAGTTATTCCTGGAGCCGTGCCCACCTCACCTTGTTCCTTTCTCTTGTGATTCCCTCCTTCCCCAACTCTGCCCTTAGAAAGCTTAGACAGTCTTAAGAGCCATCTTGGGCTCTACCTTTTACAGAAACTTCTGAATGAAATCTCTCCTTTCTGTGTATTCAATGATATATTACTTGTATTTTTCCTTAAAGTATTTCATCATGTTCTGCCTTGAATTACAACTATTTGTGGACTTGCCTCATCCCTCCTTCTAGCTTTCTTAAAAGAAGAGCTAATCACGTTCATTTCTAAACTCTGTAAGACAGAAGGAGCGCTCAATAAGCGTGGAATTAACATAATTTCCTCATTTATTGTGTCTTCCTGCTGATGTTATCTGACTTTGGCCTGGTTCCTTTACCACACTTGGATTAAACTGAACCCCAATTCAGAAGTCCACTGCACTTCTTATTGGCTGGTTCAGGTCCCTCCTTCCTCTGACTTAGTCTTCATAAAAATGAGCAGAGGGCCTGAACAGACATGTTTCCAGAGACATACAAATGGTCAATAGATTGACGAAAAGACGTTCAACATCACTAATCATCAGGGAAATGCAAATCAAAACCACCGTGAGATATCACCTCGCACCTAGTAGAGTGGTTATCAAAAAGACAAGAAGTAACAAGTGCTGGTAAGGATGTGGAGAAAAAGGAACCCTTGTGTACTGCTGGTGGTTGGTGCAGCCACTATGGAAACCAGTATGGATATTCTTCAAAAAATGAAAAATAGAACTACCATATGATCCAGTAATCCCACTTCTGGGTATATATCCAAAGAAAACAAAATCACTACCTCAAAGCGACGTCTGCACCCCCATGTTCACTGCAGCATTAGTCACAATAGCCAAGACATAGAAATAACCTAAGTGTCAATCAATGGACAAATGGATAAAGGAAATGTGGTGTGTATATACAATGGAATATTATTCACTATAAAAAAGAAGGAAATCCTGCTATTTGTGAAAAATGGACAGACCTTGAGGGCATTATGTTAAGTGAAATAAGTCTGACAGAGAAGACAAACAATGAATGATCTTATTTACATGTGGGATCTGAAAAAGCCAAACTCACAGAAACAGAGAGGACAATGTTCAGGTGAAGGAAATGGGGAGATGTGATCAAAGCAGACAAACTTAAAGTTATCAGGTGAATAAGTTGTGGAGTCAAATGTACAGCAAGGTGACTATAGTTAACAATACTATATTGTATACTTGCACGTTGCTAAGAAAGTAGATCTCAAATGTTCTCACCACACACACACATGCATGCACAGGTAATTATGAGGTAATGGAGGTGTTTGCTAATGCTATACAGTAGCAGTAATCATTCTGCAATATATATGTGTATCAAATCATCATGTTGTATATCTTAAACTTACACAATATTTATGTCAATTATATCTCAATAAAGCTGGAAAAAAAATAAAAATAATTCTTAGCTATAAAGTTATAAAGTATGGCCTACTAAAATTTCATTACTTACCTTTTTGTTATTTTTCTCTTTCATTTACAGAAATCCTTACCTTTTGTGATTTCAGATAACTTACCTTTATCTTTATTTGATTTTCAACATTCACACTCAGGTTATTCAGTGCATTTAAAGCTTTCTCTTTAATACTCTGGTTGGGATTGTTGATTTTGCTTCCAATGATTGGAATACCACCCAATTCACGAATCATGACCTAAGAGGGAAAAAACAGGACCATGACTTCAATATGCACCCCCCTTCATTATATTCTTTGCATCTACAAATACAAATAAAAACTAATGACTCTTTGGAAATACTGTTCCCATATACAACCTCTAATTCCTATTTTTTAAAAAAGTTTACTACCCGCGGTGGCCCGACAGGACCCGAAAGCTGCGCCCCACTATGCAACGCCGACCGCGTTGCCGCACTGCTGTGGGGGACTCGCCCTTTCGGCCAGCCGTCGGAGGACCTCGGGGTGACCTACTTGCATCTGGGACACCAACGTCGATCTCGCCCTCAGTCTCTGCCAGAGAAAAGGGGGAAACTGCTAAGGACGGATGGGGCGTGTCCCCCGGCTCCTGACTCAGAGCCTGGTCTGTAGCATTTGGTGAATGGTGGGTATAAAGGCAGAAGTCGGGAGATAAGAGCACGTCTGATGGTGGCGACACTGGTCCCAAGGGAGGGTCTGTGTGTCGGAAATATGAAGAAATGAGACTGCAGAGAGGCCAACTTTTTATGGACGCTGAGGATTTGGGACAAAATATAATTATAGCTCGCAGTTCTGAAGGGCCGATTGTATTCTTAGCAGTTCACCTGAACTATCCTCACAACCCTATGGTGTTGTTGAAGTGATCAAATTAAATAATCCTGGAGTGCTAAAAAAAAAAAAAAAAAGTTTACTACCCATAATTTTATAGGTAAAGAAACCAACTGAAAATAAATTATTAATATATGTAATATTTAAACTATAGCATGGAGATATACAATGAAGATTTATATCTACTACAAGAGCTACTACAATGATCTCAAAGCAATTTACAAACAAAATTATTTTACTTTGAAATAAGTTATATCTCTATTACAGGCCAATTTGGAAATGCATTAAGATTTAGAACACTACAGTAGTGTTTTGCTAAAATGAATACTTTGGAACACTAATCCCTCAAGATTTTAGTAGATGCTCCATTTAAAAAAAGGGAGCTTTCATGGATAAGTAACTTTGAGAAACTCTGGGTATAACAAGACTAAACACGTCTCTTTATTTTGATGCAATCCTATGTTCGTGTGCATTGGAATCTCCGAGAGGGGAGTACTGAATATAGTACTTCTATAAACTTTATCCATAAAGAAGATCATTTTTCAGTTGGGGGAGAGGAAGAAAACTTATTAACATCTTGAAGTATTAAAGTTCCACACAGTTTGGAAATGGTGCCCAAATTCTCAGAGGAAAAATAATCCGGAGATTTCTCACAATCAATTGCAACACTAAATACTATGTGCCTTTGTCCCAACACTGAAAGAGACATAAACTTTCATTTCTTACAAGAAAAATAAGCTGAAAATGACTCCTGTCAGGCCAAAACATGCCATTCTATCAGAAAAAGAGATGAAGAAGCTGCAATTCCAGGTTCTTTCTAAGAATGTGTGGTTACTAGAAAACAGCCCTTTTTTAAAAAAAAAACAAAAAAAACTGTACTGTTAAAGCAGATGAAGGCATTATAATTGATGACGAGGGACACCAACTCCCATTACTGAAGAAAGTACTTGTTCACCAGTGGCTTCTGACCCCCTCACTCTGACTACAGTTTCAGAGGAATATAAAACTATGGCATCAGAAATAACCCCAATACAGGCATGCTAATAAGCTAGTCACCATCTGTTGTTTTCGTCTGCCTGACACCCCTCTTTCTATTGGGGCAGACATGGCACCTCTATCCTATATAGTCCCTGGTGGGACTGCTGGTCAATTGTGTTCACACCCATCCCTGTTGTTTTTGGCTGCAGGATGCACATGTGAGCCAGGCCTTGCTAATCATGGTCCAGGGTGCTTTGGCTCAACAATCAATCCAAAGGGTTGGCACTTATCCTAGCAGAGCAACTCCACCTTTCAGATCATGAGCTACAATGATGAAGGCTTGAGAGGCCAGTGGCTTTCTTTCCATCCCTGTGAAGAAAACCTCTTTGTGGCCAGAGAGACAGAGATCAAAACACAAAAAGAAGCAGGGGTAAGCAGCCAAAAGACAGAGAAAGAGAAGGTTTGATAATGCTTTCTGTAACCTTGAACTACATTCACACTTGTGCCTGAAAACAATGATACCCTTGGACGTCCAAGTTAACTGAGCTCAATATTTTCCCTTTTTGGTTTGAAATAATTTAAGTTGGGTTCTGTCATTTACAACTGAAATGTGAGTAACAGACAAATATTCCTTGTATCTCCCTATAAATCTCTAGAGCTTTAGAGTAAACCTTGACATGATAGATAAATATGGACTAAAATGAAGTATAAATTCAAAACTGTGCATGCATGACAATGTTAAGAAAGGGCATTAGCTGAAAATAATGACAAAAACTGTTTAACTTTTCTCCATGGGTAGTGGGGGGAAGCAGAGGCCATTTACATTGGTCCGTGGTTGTCAGCATGTGGTCTAGGGAGCACCTGCATCAGAACCATCCTCATAAGCCCTGTGTACAATGTAAAGCATGTACTTAAATGTCAGATGCTTGGGCTTCCCTGGTGGCACAGTGGTTGAGGGTCCGCCTGCCGATGCAGGGGACATGGGTTCGTGACCCGGTCCGGGAGGATCCCGCATTCCGCGGAGTGGCTGGGCCCGTGAGCCATGGCTGCTGGGCCTGTGCGTCTGGAGCCTGTGCTCCGCGGCGGGAGAGGCCACAGCAGTTTAGAGGCCCGCGTACCGCAAAAAAAAAAAGTCAGATGCTTTTGTTGCTCTACTGCAGCACTGCTGAACTTTAAATAATTAAAAAGGCCACGCAATGCTAAGTGTTGATTAGATACACTTATTACAAATGTGATGCCAGTGACCAACTTCATAGGGATCTTGATCTAGAATCCTATTACTACTCGTATTACTATTAGGCTGTGCTTTTCAGAAGTAAACAAACGTTATTCTGTAGGTATCCATAGCTTGAGGCTCTGGGAGGTTAAGTAACTTATCAGGGTCACAATTAGTGCTGGTGTGTGAGAATAGGAGGAACGTGTTTGCAGAGACTAGGGTACTCACTTGGTTGACTGAAAAGGCTGCATTGTTACCCAGAGTGACCAAAGCTCTTTCGATAATGACAGGATCCTCAGTAGACTCAAGCAGGTAAAGGAGTTTCTGAAGTTGTTCAGCATTTAGGATATCATCATATGAGCCATTGGTTAAGTCTTCTGCATAAGAATAAAGTTATTTAAAGTTCATTTAAAATCAATATGAGACAAATTTTTTTTATGAACAATACTGAATGCATATTCTGATGCCAGGCACAGTTTTAAGCACTTCAAATACCTTATCTCATTTAATCTTCAAGTGACCCCTGGAAGAGGATACTATTATAATTCTCAATTTACAGACAGAAAGTGAGGCTTATAAACGTTAATTAGCCAATGGTTACTTTTCTCTTTTAGTAACGCACTGCATGCCAACAGCATTTTCTGTTTCTTCTTTTTAAAAATCAGGTACACCCATCCAGTGGAACACTTCCCTACAGACATAGATTATTAAGAAACAGAATTTGCATTAGGGAGAACTGTTTTGATCACAGTTTTAAGAGTGCCTCAGGCTGGAGCAAAAGCTATGGGAGTGGCCCAATCGTGCTGCTCCTGGGGCGCTTTTGTTTGGTTTATATGAGCAAGGCATGACGACCGAGACGCAAGAACAGCAGTCCACCTGGGGGTGATGACAAAAGCTGTTGTTCTGAGGAATAGGTCAAGTAGTCAAATGCTGGATCTGCTCAGGAACATTTAAAATTTATAGCTCTAACCTTTAAAAAAAAAAATCCTCTTTATAGAAATCACCACAGGAAAAACAGAAACCATTTGCATAATGCTATAATTGTGTTATAAACATAGAACATGATTCTCTCCAAATTAAACTATGAGAATAGGTCAGACAGTGCAAGTGTCCACAGTACATTGCCCAGGGTGGGGCTGAGGGGGCAGTTTATAACAAGAGGTGCTGTATGATGTCACAGCTGTGCTTTTTGTTTTTAAAAATGTCTCTCAAATTATTAAAAGTTATCTTTGGATGCTGGGATTATGAATGACTTATTTTCTACCCCTGTGCTCATGAGTACTTTCTGATTTTTTTAAGTAAACATGTATCACTTTATTAAAATCATTGAGTATACTGCTTAAAGAGGAAACACAGACAAATATGAGGTAAACACAAGTTTAGATTATGGGAGCCAATAAGTGATATGATGTCCTGAAGAAGCCAAATAAGAAATCAATCATTAGGAAAATCTAAAAGCCAAAAAGCCAGCAGATTCTCACTCCCATGTCTTATAATCAGAACCTCTGTACCATGCTTTTACGCCTGAATCCACTACCTGCCTCATTAACACCTTATAAAAGAATTTCACCCAAAGAATACTTGAAAAGGTAAGTGAAACAATGACAAAAACAGATTTTTAAAATGGAAAGATTTTTGGAGGGTTCATCCAAACCTCTTATTTTACACACAAGGAACCTGAGACCAGGATCATTTAAGGATTTGCCTAATGTCACAAAGGAGTTAGTAGCAGAGACCAGAGAAATGAAAATACAAAGCTGCAGACGACCACTTAACCTCTTTTGGGTCTCAGTCTTCTCACATGTAAAATAAGGTTGGTCAAACACTATAACTGGTTCCAAAAGTTCCTGTACAGCCCTGAAGTTGTATAATTTTATACATATACATGTGACAGAAATAGGATAAATTTAACTCATTCATACTTCCAAAACATTTCAAAATCCTATAACTTCCTTATACATTTTCCCACAAAGCCATTAAAAAGTTTCATAGATAAATTATTTATAAATAGCCAAATAAAAATTTACAGGTAAAAGTGTTAAATCATAGACTTTTCATTTGAAGGAAGGAAGTACAATGTGGTTAAAAGTAAAAGTAAGTTAAAAGTTAAAAGTAAGCCAAGGTTAAGTCTGGTTCAAATTCCAGCTAAGCTATTTACCAGCTGAGAGACTTAACCTCTCCAAGACTCAGTTTCTTCATCTATTACATGGGAGTTAATAATGCCTACCTTAAAGCATTTTTATGTCTTTGGATATATACCCAAGAGTGGAATTGCTGGATCATGTGGTAGTCTCATTTTTAATTTTATGAGGAATGTCCATACTGTTTTCCACAGTGGCTGCACCAATTTACATTCCCACCAACAGTGTATAATGATTCCCTTTCCTCCACATCCTCACCAACACTTGTTATTTGTGGTCTTTTTGATGACAGCATTCTGACTGGTGTGAGGTGATATCTCACTGCGGCTTTGATTGGCATTTTTCTGATCATTAGCAATGCTGAGCATCTTTTCATGGGGCCCTGTTGCCCATCTACATGTCTTCTTAGGAAAAATATCTGTTCAGGTCTTCTGCCCATTTTCTAACCAGGTTCTTTTTTTGGTATTGAGTTGTATAAGGTGTTTATATATTTTGGATATTAAGTAACCCCTTGTTGGTTGCATCATTTGTAAATATTTTCACCCATTCAGTAGGTTGTGTTTTTGTTTTGCAAATGGAGTCCTTTGTTGTGCAAAAGCTTTTCAGTTTAATTAGGTCCTATTTGTTTATTTTTACTTTTGTTTCCTTTGCCTTAGGAGACAGGTTCAAAAAAATATTGCTATAATTTATGTCAAAGAGTGTTCTGCCTATGTTTTCTTCCAGTAGTTTTATACTTTCCAGTCTTACATGTAGGTCTTTGTTCCATTTTGAGTTTATTTTTGCATATGGTATGAGAAAATGTTATAATTTCATGCTTTTAAATGTAGCTGTCCAGTTTTCCAAGCACCACTGATTAAAAAGACTATCTTTTCCCCATTGTATATTCTTGCCTCCTTTGTTGTAGATTAATTGACCATAAGTTCTTGCTTTATTTCTGAACTATCTATTCTGTTCCATTGATCTATGTGTCTGTTTCTGTGCCAGTACCATACTGTTTTGATAAATGTAGCTTTGCAGTATAGTCTGAAGTCCAGGAGCCTGATTCCTCCAGCTTTATTCTTCTTTCTCAAGATTGTTTTGGCTATTCGGGGTGTTTTGTGTTTCCATAAATATTTTTAAATTATTTGTTCTAGTTTTTGAAAAAGTGCCATTGGTATTTTGATAGGGATTGCATTGAATCTGTAGATTGCCTGGGAGAATATGGTCATTTTAACAAAATGAATTCTTCCAATCAATGCACAACATATATATCTTTCCATCTATTTGCATCATCTTCAATTTCTTTCATCAGTGTCTTAAAGTTTTTTAGGTATAGGTCTTCTAACTCCTTACGCAGATTTATACTTAGGTATTTTATCTTTTTGATGTGATGGAAAATGGGATTGTTTCCTTAATTTCTCTTTACAATAATTCGTTGTTAGTGTATAGAAATGCAACTGATTTCTGTATAGTAATTTTGCATCTTGCAACTTTTCCAAATTCATTGATGAGCTTTTTGGTGGTGTCTTTGAGATTTTCTATGTATAGTATCATGTCATTTGCAAACAGTGACAGTCCTACTTCTTCCTTTCAAATTTGGATTCCTTTTATTTCTTTTTTTTGTCTGATTGCTGTGGCTAGGACGTCCAATACTATGTTGAATAAAAATGGCAAGAGTGGGCATTCTTATCTTGTTCCTGATCTTAGAGGAAAATGCTTTTTACCACTGAGTATCATGTTAGCTGTGGGCTTCTCATATACGGCCTTTATTATATTGAGGTATGTTCCATCTATACCAACTTGGTTGAGGGTTTTGTTAAAAAAAAAAAAAAAAAGAAGGATGCTGAATTTGTCAAAACATTTTTGCATCAGTTGAGATGATCATATGATTTTTATTCTACAATTCATTAATGTGGTGTATCATACTGATTCATTTGCTGACACTGAACCATTCTTGCATCCTTGGAATTAATCCCAGTTGATCATGGTGTATAATCTTTTTATTGTACTGTTAAATTCAGTTTGCTAATATTTTGTTGAGGACTTTTGTATCTATGTTCAATGATATTGGCCTGCAATTTTCTTTTCTGTGTGATATCTTTGTCTTCTTTTGGCATCAGTGTGATGCTGGCCTCATAGAAAGAGTTCAGAAGCATTCCTTCCTCTGCAACTTTTTTCAATAGTTTGAGAAGGACAGGTGTTAACACTTCTCTAAATGTTTGGCAGAATTTACCCATGAAGACATCTGGTCCTGGACTTTTGTTTGTTGGGAGTTTTAAAAACTATTCAATTTCATTACTGGTAATTGGTCTGTTCATGTTTCCTATTTCTTACTGGTTCAGTCTTGGGAGATTGTACATTTCTAGGAATTTGTCCATTTCTTCTAGGTTTTCCATTTTATTGGCATATAGTTGTTCATAGTGGTCTTTTATGATCCTTTCTATTTCTGTGGTGTTGGTCCTAACCTCTTTTTCATTTCTGATTTTATTGATTTGGGCCCTCTCTTTTTGTTTTTATGAGTCTGGCTAAAGGTTTATCAATTTTATCTTAACAAAGAACTAGCTCTCAGTTTCACTGATATTTTCTATTTTTTTTAATGAGTCTATTTCATTTATTTCTGCTCTGATCTTTATAATTTCTTTCCTTCTACTAAATTTGCGTTTTGTTTGGTCTTCTTCTTTTTTTTTTTTCCTGCAGTACGTGGGCCTCTCACTGCTGTGGCCTCTCCCATTGCAGAGCACAGGCTCCAGACGCACAGGCTCAGCAGCCATGGCTCACGGACCCAGCCACTCCGCGGCCTGTGGGATCTTCCCAGACCGGAGCATGAACCTGTGTCCCCTGCACTGGCAGGCGGACTCTCAAACCACTGCGCCACCAGGGAAGCCCTGGTCTTCTTTTTCTAGTTCCTTTAAGTGTAAGGTTAGGTTATTTGAGAATTCTTTTGTTTTCTGAGGCTGGCCTGTATCACATAAAATGCCCTCTTAAAACTGCTTTTCCTGTGCTTCCCTGGTGGCGCAGTGGTTGAGAGTCCGCCTGCCGATGCAGGGGACATGGATTTGTGCCCCAGTCTGGGAAGATCACACATGCCGCGGAGCAGCTAGGCCCATGAGCCATGGCCACTGAGCCTGTGCATCCGGAGCCTGTGCTCTGCAACGGGAGAGGCCACAACAGTGAGAGGCCCACGTACCACACACACAAAAAATAATAAAAATAAAAATAAAACAAAAAAACCCTGCTTTTCCTGCATCCCATAGGTT